GGATAAAACCTATGAAAACGAAACCCCACTCCACAAATAGCATTTTCTGTCGGCCCCCGGGGCCAAAATCAATTGAATGCAAAACTATCCCTCTCAAAACCTGGCTGAAGGCTCAGTTTGCCGCTAGGAAGGTTTAACAACATTCGAAAAAATGAGCTTTTTTGGAATTTCCCTGACCATTCAGCAAAAAAGGGATAAACCTATAAAAGCGAAACCCCACTCCACAAATAGCATTTTCTGTCGGCCCTGGGGCCAAAATCAGTTGAATGCAAAACCATCCCCCTCAAAACCTGGCTGAAGGCTCAGTCTGCCGCTAGGAAGGTTCAACAACATTCGAAAAAATGAGCTTTTTTCGAATTTCCCTGATCATTAAGCGAAAAAAGGGATAAAGCCTAGGAAACGAAACCCCCACTCCACAAACATCATTTTCTGTCGGCCCTGGGGCCAAAATCAGTTGAACGCAAAACCATCCCCCTCAAAAAATGACTGAATTCTCAGTTCGCCGCTAGGAAGGTTTAGGAATACTCGAAAAATAAGCTATTTTGGAATTTCCCTGACCATTCAGCAAAAAAGGGATAAAACCTAGGAAACGAAACCCCCACTCCACAAACATCATTTTCTGTCGGCCCTGGGGCCAAAATCAGTTGAACGCAAAACTATCCCCCTCAAAAAACGACTGAATTCTCAGTTCGCCCTAGCAAAGTTCAATAAAAGAACGAGTTTTTCGCGTTTCTCTAATTTTGAGGAAAAATGGGATGAAAAAAAAAACTTCAAAACGAAACCCAACTCGCTATCGTTCTTCACCGGTCTTGGAACCAAAATCAATTTTGCCCGGGAACTCTAATTCCCCTCAAAACCTGGCTGAAGGCTCAGTTCGCCGCTAGGAAGGTTTAGGAATACTCGAAAAATGAGCTATTTTGGAATTTCCCTGACCATTCAGCAAAAAAGGGATAAAACCTATGAAAACGAAACCCCTCTCCACAAACATCATTTTCTGTCGGCCCTGGGGCCAAAATCAGTTGAACGCAAAACTATCCCCCTCAAAAAATGACTGAATTCTCAGTTCGCCCTAGCAAAGTTCAATAAAAGAACGAGTTTTTCGCGTTTCTCTAATTTTGAGGAAAAAGGGGATGAAAAAAAAAACTTCAAAACGAAACCCAACTCACTATCGTTCTTCACCGGTCTTGGAACCAAAATCAATTTTGCCCGGGAACTCTAACTCCCCTCAAAACCTGGCTGAAGGCTCAGTTCGCCGCTAGGAAGGTTCAACAACATTCGAAAAAATGAGCTTTTTTCGAATTTCCCAGATCATTCAGCAAAAAAGGGATAAAACCTATGAAAACGAAACCCCACTCCACAAACATCATTTTCTGTCGGCCCTGGGGCCAAAATCAGTTGAACGCAAAACTATCCCCCTCAAAAAATGACTGAATTCTCAGTTCGCCGCTAGGAAGGTTCAACAACATTCGAAAAAATGAGCTTTTTTCGAATTTCCCTGATCATTCAGCGAAAAAAGGGATAAAACCTATGAAAACGAAACCCCACTCCACAAACATCATTTTCTGTCGGCCCTGGGGCCAAAATCAGTTGAACGCAAAACTATCCCCCTCAAAAAATGACTGAAGGCTCAGTTTGCCGCTAGGAAGTTTCAACAACATTCGAAAAAATGAGCTTTTTTCGAGTTTCCCTGATCATTCAGCGAAAAAAGGGATAAAACCTATGAAAACGAAACCCCACTCCACAAACATCATTTTCTGTCGGCCCTGGGGCCAAAATCAATTGAACGCAAAACTATCCCCCTCAAAAAATGACTGAATTCTCAGTTCGCCGCTAGGAAGGTTCAAAAACATTTGAAAAAATGAGCTTTTTTCGAATTTCCCTGACCATTCAGCAAAAAAGGGATAAAACCTAGGAAACGAAACCCCCACTCCACAAACATCATTTTCTGTCGGCCCTGGGGCCAAAATCAGTTGAACGCAAAACTATCCCACTCAAAAAATGACTGAATTCTCAGTTCGCCGCCAGGAAGGTTTAGGAATACTCGAAAAATGAGCTATTTTGCAATTTCCCTGACCATTCAGCAAAAAAGGGATAAAACCTATGAAAACGAAACCCCACTCCACAAATAGCATTTTCTGTCGGCCCCCGGGGCCAAAATCAATTGAATGCAAAACTATCCCCCCTCAAAAAATGACTGAATTCTCAGTTCGCCGCTAGCAAAGTTCAGCAAAAAAACGAGTTTTACGCGTTTCTCTAACTTTGAGAAAAAAGGAGATGAAAACTTCAAAACGAAACCCAAATCACAGATATCGTTCTTCACCGGTCTTGGAACCAAAATCAATTTTGCTCGCGAGCCCTAACTCCCCTCAAAACCTGGCTGAAGGCTCAGTTCGCCGCTAGGAAGGTTTAGGAATACTCGAAAAATGAGCTATTTTGGAATTTCCCTGACCATTCAGCAAAAAAGGGATAAAACCTAGGAAACGAAACCCCCACTCCATAAATAGCATTTTCTGTCGGCCCTGGGGCCAAAATCAGTTGAATGCAAAACTATCCCCCTCAAAACATGACTGAATTCTCAGTTCGCCGCTAGGAAGGTTTAGGAATACTCGAAAAATGAGCTATTTTGGAATTTCCCTGACAATTCAGCAAAAAAGGGATAAAACCTATGAAAACGAAACCCCACTCCACAAATAGCATTTTGTGTCGGCCCAGGGGCCAAAATCAGTTGAATGCAAAACTATCTCCCCTCCAAACCTGACTGAAGGCTCAGTTTGCCGCAAGGAAAGTTAGGCAAACCCCGGGTTTTTCGCAAATTTCTCTGAACTCCGAGGAAAAAAAGGATGAAAATTTCAAAACGAAATCCATTCCACAAATATCGTTTTTTACCGGCCTTGATACCAAAATCAATTTTGAATGCTCGCTAACTCTGACTCCCTCAAAACCTGACTGAAGGCTCAGTTCGCCGCTAGGAAAGTTGAGCAAAAAAAAGAGTTTTTCGCGAATTTCTCTGAACTTTGAGGAAAAGGGGATGGAAAGTTACGTGGTGAGGCCGCCGCTAGGAAGGTTTGGGATTACTCGAAAGAATGAGCTATTTTGGAATTTCCCTGACCATTCAGCAAAAAAGGGATGAAGCCTTTGAAAACGAAACTCCACTCCACAGATGTCATTCTCCGCCGGCCCTCGGGACCAAAGTCACTTGAATGGAACCCTATCTCCCCTCAAAAGTTGACTGAAGGCTCAGTTTGTCGCCAGGAATATTCAGCAATATTCGAAAAAACGACTTTTTCGCGTAATTCTCTGACCTTTTAGGGAAAAGGGGATGGAAACTTACGTGATGGATCTCCAATTACACAAAGCGTTGAATCTGGATGCTCACGAACTAAAATTTCCTCGAAAAATTTGCTTAAATGCTCAATTTATCGCTAGAAAACCAAAATTAGCTTGTCAGCAATATCCCAGTAGGTGAGTTTTTCGTGGTTACATATGGGATTTGAGCGGAAAAGAGAATGAAACTTTCAAAATGAGGCCCCACTTCAGAGAACGCCGATTTTTGCCGCCCATCCGGGCCAAAATTAATTGAATGCTCAGTCTTCCGCTGAGGAAGCCAAATTTTTAGCATAGTTGTTGTGTAAGGCAGAGTTTAGTGGGTATTTTGCTGATATTTGTGCGGAAGGCTCTACTCCACAGAAGGTTAACTTTTTGTGAAAAAATGTCCCATGAAGAGTCAAATAAGAGCCGTGAGCTCCAATAGGTAACAAAATATGCTTGCATGCGTGCACGACAGTACAAAATGACACAAGCGATCAATAACCTTCTTCGTACCCCATCGGCGAGAGCCAGTGTGACAGAAACACAACAACAATCTCTCGCCCAGAATAATGACTACCTATATACCGTGACTACCTATATTTAGGTAATCGATAATCCTGAAATGTATTATTTTTGTGATCAGCCCTCACACATACACCCCTGTGCCAAATTTTAGCCGCTTAGCTCAATGTTGGAAAATGTCCGCTCCGCCCCGGGACCCATAGTGCGAGCGAATCTCTCGCCGGCATAATGGCTACTGGCCTCTCCTCTCGCTATCACTGAGCGCCGTTATATTTTCGCATTCCTTTTTCTGGATTCCTTCAGCAACTGGACCCTCCGTCACGCTGGGGTTAAGGATAGGAGGGACGCAGAAAACTCTGCCGTCGCGCTTGAAAGGATCGAATGTATATTATAGTAAGGATTAGGGTAGCCCCAACATTGCAGCATACCTCACGCGGGTCGCGCCTAAACCTATAGCGTGTAAGAAGTACGACTTTGATAAGGCGCGGCCAGCGGAGTGATGTGGTTGGGCCAAGACTCTCCCGATAATCTCTTCCCAAGTTCAACTTTGGCCGCGGCGTTCCCGGTAAAACATAGATGGGTCGCGGCGTGCGAGGCTGAAATTTTGAGGGCCGCGGCTCGTCATGCGAAGATTTTGAGGGCTGCAGCGGTCCATATAACACGCTTTGAGGCCGCGAACTTTCCGATGCAGTCTGAAATGTGGGAAGAGCGTTAATAAAAACGAAGGATAAAGGATTCGGCGTCTTCAATACCCTCTGCGGGCATGCGCCAAACGCACTTACTTCATAGTGAGGCAACTGTATGCGAGTGGGCCTTTACAATGACTTGCGGGGACCAGCCGGTTACCAAGTCAGTGCTTTTATCCTCCCAGATTACTCTGGTATTAATTTACCGTCTTCGGAGAGTAAACGGTTTGGTTGGCCCAGGGAACCTGCGTCCGACCTAATCTTAGCGGCGCCTCATACCAGCACGCCACTCGTCCCCTCGGAAGAACGTTATGAACGAACAAAAACTGCGTATTAACGGATACCGCATGTTTGGCATGTTTTATAACTTTTTGCTTTGAGAACGAAGTCTATATAATTGACCCTGATAAATCTGTGCCTTGCCCTTTCCAGGTTCAACATGTTGCCTCAACTTGTTTTTTTTTTGAAAAGCATTCTTTTGCAGCCTCATTTTCATTCATCTCCGGTCCTGTTCGACAGACATGGGTTTAACACCAATTTATGGAATAGCAGAACCGTTTCAACTCCCGGAATCACAGGTGCATTTTTTTAGCTTTGGACCTTTCAGTCCAAAGCATCTTCCTTTTCGGTAAAAGTAGATATTACATTTATGCAAAAACTATGTTTTCCCTTCTTGCCCACTCATTATGCCTTGCAGTGTTGTATTTGACGCATTCACGATCACGCGCTTTTTTCGGCAAAGGCAACATCACGACCCCATCTATGAGGCATATGATCTGAAATGGAAGAGTTTCCGGAAGAACGAAGTATCACAAAAGCAAGGGACCAAAATCGCATAGGCTTTCGTGTATATACATCGGCGATATCTCAGAACTTCGCAAAAACAGTGAACGCGTTTATAACGCTTATACAGTTTATCTTTATCAGATTTGAGTTCGAATGATCGCTCAAAATCGTGGGCTAGCAACGCTTTGAACCTGCTCTACAAGTGCGAGAGCAAAGCATCGCCTAAGAGATCGAAAAAATGAACAGACTAGGAGATATTAGCCAGGACCAATCTCCGCTACGACCCCTCTTGCTGCTCTCCTTCCAAATTCTGACGTCGCAGTTACGGTTACAGTAGGTATACTGTACAAGGAGAAAAACTACAAAATTTCACAGATTTAGCTGAAACTTGGCATAGAAGGGTTATTCGACATGCTGATTACGAAAACAATATTAAATCTGTTGAAATTGCATGGTAAGGGTTTTTTTTCTGTAAGATCGTAGGCTTACGGTTTGAGGCCTCTTCCTAATCAAAAAAAATGTGTTCATTCAACAAATGAATATGACATTCGTTTCAATCAGTTCAAATAATCTCAATATGCAAAACCTTGGCTAATTTTGAGTTTTGAATCCGATGGTGGTCCCCAGCAGTTTTGCGTACAGAGGCTCGTTCAACTTTGTGAAGGCGTCACATCTCGAATTATCTTTAAATTTCATTTCTTGAGTGAAATAAATCAACCTTTAGCAATAATTTATACACAATTTCGGATCATTTTGCGTGGTCAAAATTCCAAAAACTCTCGGAATGCATTGGCTTATGAAAAGAGGCCTCTGATTTTCCTAATTCGTTTTCAGAATTCGCATAGTTTGTGCACAGTTGTAGAATGCATTACGTTCCACATATTGCCAGAGTTTGAGTGCGCAACATCTAGAGAGAGAGAGTAAAGTTATGAAGAGAGTTACATGTTGCCAGGAAAAAGGATGGGTCTGGAAAATGTTTGCCTGTTCAATTTCAAGCGTATGAAAACGAAAAAATTTTTCGAATGACCCAATAGAAGAATAAAATCTTGCGTAAAAAATTGCTCAATGCACGTCAACTCAAAAGTTGCCAGTTGTTTTGTGTATATGGACTCGAAACTACGTATGTGCAAGACAGAATTGCTGATCCTGTGATTGACCTAATTTTGCGCTTGCCCATACGCGACTTGCGTCAGCAAACCAACCCAACTTCGCTGGCATCAGTTAGAAATTTGTACTTAATTTTTAGAGACGACTTGCTTACACCGCCGCTGTAGCTGTAGTAATTGGAGCAATACTAGTGATTTGCGCCGAGTTGTTAGAGAAGGTAATTTCTTTGTTTTCTTCTCAGGAGAGACGTCATGATTGCCTATGTTCCCATCAGATGTGTTGGACGGTTAACTACGATGCCGCCTTAGTGTGATGTCGGTCACACCCTTTGGAGAAATCGTTGGAATACTTCTCTTTTTTGCAAAATTCTAGTACTTGAAGCGGTGACATAGAAAATTGTTTTGTACAGGTCGGGGGTTACCTGCACAGTTTTGAATTGTGACAGCTTTCACTCCTCCTTCCTTCTGCAACCTCATCGTCTCCGTCCCGTTCTCCACGACAACTCTTGCATACGCACACACAAACGTAAATATATGCACGATGGTCGAATCTATCTCGGCAGACGTTAAGTTCTAAAGTTTTGATTGATACGCAAAATCAAAGCCTTTACATTTTCAATAGCGAGTCACAACAAATGGATTTCATAAAATTCTTCATGTGTCGTAATCAGTAAATTTGATGACTACCAATAGGTAAATGCTTGGATGATTATTGGGCAAAAGGTGGAACGGCACAAAAATAAAATTGAAAGCTTAGAATGAACGCAACGGGAAAATCAACATTATCATGAGTCAACGACCTTCCATAATAAAATCACCGTCCAAAGTACGGTTGCCTCATCCTAACTCATCCAGTTCTTCGCCACATCTTTTGTATAGACTATTCTTCACAATTTTTTATGACTGATACTGTTTAGATGCAAGCTCGATCACAACAGAGAGAGGCGCTAGAAGTGCGAGATCGAATGATTATTCCTCCACGCTGCGATGCCAAGTCGAAGGATATGGGACTTACTCAAGTGCAATTTTGGAAGGACTATTTTACGAGGGACGAGCCTTTCGTGCCAACGCCGTAAATCGTCGTCTTCTCATCGTTGACTGGAAGTCAAAGATATCGACAATTCAATGCGTCTATATACTGCGGATAAATACGCATTCTGGTTATAGTGTATATTTGCTTATTGCTAAAACCATATAGGTTGAAACAAAATATTGAACGTTTAACAGTCTCGAACCACAAATTCGCACGTGGTTGAAAAGGGTGCACCTTAGGCTACGTTCATACTAATCTAAGAGTTCGGGAACAGTTCGGCACAGCGCTCGATCTGAGCACGGCGCTGGAACTGTTCTCGAACTTCCGCATTAGTATAGACGCAGCCTTACAGACAAAGAAATCTCGTTTCGTAGACATAATACTATATCTGGAATCAGCTAAAGTTTCATAGCCGAAGTTCCGAATGAGCTCGAAGATCTAGATTTGTCACTCGAAAAGGACTGATGTGTTTTCTCAGAGGGTAAGAACGAGATCCTTACAAGTGGTAACCGTTCACATTGCCGCACACGTATACACCGTCACTATAAACGCTGTTTTTCCCTTGCAAATTAATGCAAATGAAAGTTGCAACGTCACAGTAAGTGCTTTTCGATATGCCGTTTTCCCACAGAAAACCTCTGGTCTTCATATAGTTATGTGAAAATGAACCTGTGCCTTCAACTTGATTCTTGGACTGTGACAAAACCCCTTTTGAAATTTAAAAGATTCGAAAACCGCGTGATGCACCATGTGCAGATTTGTGAGACGTGTTGGAGTTACGGTGCTGTGTGAATGTTGACAACCAAAATGATACTAACTAACACTGATTTTCTTTGAATTCCTGCCCCTCCTCCATGATAGTGAAGGTTGTTTGGCCGACGATATAAAAAAGAAGAGGTGCGGGCTAGGATAGCAAGCTAAGTAAAAGCTATTGAAGATCTATGGAGTACAGTGCGACAAGTATGAAATTTTCCAGGTGGCGATTTTAAAATAGAAGTATACACTATGGGAACGCTGGTGCGGAATTCAGGCAAAGCGGGATGAAACCAGAACTGCTTGAAACTCATCGCTTTTTGAATATCATGATTGTCAAGAAAGAAACCAGCAGAAATTCCACTACTACATATCATACTCAGAAATCTCTATTATTAGTGAAGGACAGTTACGCTGCGAAATGACTAAATTTCCAGATGCTCTTCTTCGACTTTCTAAGCTTCGTTTTCATGCTTTGGTGGATGTACATACAGATGAGTAATTTGGTATTTGGATACACAAGTGGATCTATATTTAGCGAGTAACAACAAAAACGGAAATCTGTTTAAACTCTTTATATGAAGAAAACGAATTCTCACATTTCCGCATAATGAGAAAGAAAATGTGATATCTTACTTCCTTGCGTTTTTTTCTTTGTGAGAAATAATTTCTCAAACAAAAATTTATATTTCAATTTTCATTGAAATGTTTTTCTAGAGATACCAAACCTGGACGAGAACTTGAATGCGGCATTTGTAAGAGCCACAGAAGCGACGCGTATCAGCCAACCAGATACTACACCCATGCATCACTGAAAAAACAATCTCTCTGAATGAGTCTTACTTCCGTTATTGGCCTAGTGACCAGAGTGGCATGGGTTGGTTTGGAGGATTCTTGAAAACGGAGTCCCGAAATGACTTCGCACATTTACGTGGCTCCACCGTAAATAATACCAAAAAGAACAGCAACAATCTGAAGCAACAACAACAACAACAACGACAACAACAAAACAATTGTCGCCAGCTCAAAGGACGTCTCAGGCATGTGACATCTACCGATGTTTATCTATACTATTTTTGGCTCAAAAAAGAGGTAAGGCAATAGCTTGATTCGCTCTCTTCACTATACGGTAGTTTTCTCATTTTTTCCAATCACCAAATCAAAAAGGTCCGAAATTTATGTGAACTCTACGCTATTTATGCTCCGAACCAAGCCATTTGGTTTGTTGATGGTTTAGAAACCAACAAATTCGGGAACGGATATTAGAAGACACATAAATTTCGAAAATTCTTCATGTGCTCATAACTTCATTTTAAAAAGCGCTTAGCAGATAGGGAAGGTGGATTTGGAATTAGCTATCAGGATACATCTAATAATATGCAATCCATTCCAGTTCGCCACTGCAACTTGGGACCATTCCTTGGAGTGAAATAGTGCCAAAGCATATCAAATTTGAAGTTCTGCTCGCTCTTCTAGCATGGATCTTTGCTAATTCCACTGTTCGCTTTCCCTTTCGTTGCGGCTATGTTGGCTTTGGGCTAATCTCAACGTCGCAATTAATACCGTAACCATCCAATTATCCTGCTCAACTCGAAGGTTCACGAGCCGATCAATTCCCTCGTAAACAACGGATTTCGAAATGTTTGGAGTAAATAGATCAACTGGTTTTTGTTCATAGATGATCAGTCATTGACTCAGAGCTGTTCAAAGAGCATTTTTAATCAGGATCAACATAAAATTACGCTCCAGAATATATTTTGACAGATGATGTCACAGACCAATTTTTTCCATTCTAGTGCTAGAGCGTCCTCCCTTATACCTGCTAGTGAGTCAATGATAGCTTGCTAGCTTAGTCATTTAGAAAGGTGGTTAGCGACGATCTTAACGAGTTCTCATAGCCCGAACATTTCACAGACATCGACGAAGAACGAGCAATACCGATCCAAGCAAATGCCTTGGTCATTATCGCAAGCCTTTCCGTTCCATCAATTATATCTAGTCTACGAGCTACTCACTTTTTCTAAACTTAATTTGAATATCACTCGATCTCTCACTAAAGTCATTATAAAGATATGCTACTTCGACTGAGCATTTCTTATTCCGTATACACTCTCATGCTGCGAAAACAGATTCTCGAGGAACTTTACTATTGATACATACTGTCGGAAAGCACCAAGCAAGAGCACACATCATTTTTTCATATATAAAACCAACTTTTAGTATAGTTGTTCAGTTCTTCATTCTAAGTTTTTGCACTCTTCTTGCGCAAACTTAGAATGAGTACTGCTGCGATCTACAGCAATTCAACGAAATAATTATGCAGCCAACTGTTTAAACCTTCAATTTCTCAGATGCAGCTGAATGAACCAATAATTCTATATAAGGGCCTGGTGAATAGCCGCAAAAATTAGCCTTTAATGTGCGTTTGAGTCTTGCATACTTGTTCTATTTTTCCCATGTTTAGAAGTTGGAAAAAGATTCGGCATGTATTAGCAAAAATGCTGGATTGTTCTAATAAAGATAATGCCATACTACAAACCTTTGGAAGGTAGTAATAATTTCCAGCAGTATTCGAGCGTTAGTCCTCGAGAGGTTATCGAATTCAAATAACTTAAAAAGGGACAGTATTGAAATCTTGGTATATTTTTATTTTTTAATCTCCAATTATGAAAAAAATGTATACATATGAATAACTTATGCTTGATCAAATTGGGACTTCGCAGGATCTTTTTAGATGGAAGTCTGATTTTTGGGTACTCAAAATTTTCTAATTTTTCCCGCAAATACAGTCTTTTAGAGCTTGCTTGGCTTTATCAAATGATATATTCCATATATTTCTATTAGGATGGAACGAACCTTCTGTCCTAATATCCATTCTGTTCATTTTCAAATATTCGCAGCTTTTGATTTCTCAACGGACTTTCATGCAATTATTTTTTTCTGGAAGACGCAATTTTGGTCTACAAATTATCCCGTAGCCGATTTTCCATTACGCACCTATCGCGTGGATAGAAAAGGTAGGAGAAAGTCACTCATAATGAAGTTCCTGTGTTTGGTCATAAAAAAAATCAGAGCAGTCAAAATTATAGCTTTTTTGATGTTTTTTTCTAATTAGGCAAAGTCTGAGTTTTTTGAACGTACAAAAACTTATGTTTTTCGTGGACGTCAAAAACCATAAAATTTGCTCTTTTGTATCGCTTGCTCAGTCATAGCTTTTTGCACAGACATTTGATCAGCTCAAACTTGGCTCACTTATAAGGAGCAGGTCAATAAATTTGTGATTCACTGCTCCGCTTTCTTCTGCGAGTTTTAGTTTTTTTATGATCAAATTCAAGAGAATCAAAATTTGGTTTTTTTTACCTTTTCTATCTATGCTATAATGCGGTAATGGAAAACCGACCACGCGCAGTTATGAATCCCAGAATTTCTTTTTTAAAGAAATAATCGTGTACAAATTCATAGAATTAAGAAGTTATGGATTTTTGAAAATGGTGAGATAGAACTTTCGTCCTAACCTAATATATCTTCTCTGCTGCTTCAAGATAAGCAGTATGCATTGATTCAACCAACTAATGACACTTCATCGGTTGATAAATTATATTGGTATCGGTCTCGCGCTCTCATTATTTGGAGGCCTGCAAAACCAGCACCAAAATCTCGAAAACTTTGCAATCACACACATCACAATTTTATTTTTTCGACGAAATTTCTAGTTCCCAGTAAAATATTGCTACATTCCCTTTATAGATGTGTACACAACTCTTATGTATTGTTCTGAAGCGGAAGTGAATTGTAACAGACAACAAAAACGTGAACCCGTATGGCCTGGTTTAAGTCAAGCGATTAAAGCTCAATCGCGGTATGAAGTCTGATCCCTCGTCTACATGGCGCTTTAACCGCGATTAAGTCCACTTTATTACTCCCGGACCAGTTGTGACAGTGTGGGTGTAATCTCTATTTTCTAGTACGCTATATTGTGATGTTGCGATGTGTGTAATCCGGTCAGGTAAACGACATCAATGAGACATAATTTGTCTCAAAAAATTTCGGGCAAGAAGTCCAGCGCCAGTGAAGTTTTGCCACAGCCTCTCCGTACTTGGGTTGTTCTGCTCGGATATTTGGAGCAGAAAGCAGAAAAAAGTCTGCTCGGGCAATACTAGCAAACTCGTAAGCAGCGGGGCGTGAATAATTCAGCACTTTGTTGCTAGCAGTGTTACGCAGTTTTTCCCACATCGCCGCAGACCTAACAGCGTCACGCAACACTGAGCATTGGAACTCCAATAGAAATGTATGAACATGTAAAAGGCCACATGCTATATTTTACTAGTTTTCATTTGTG